CAACAATTATTGTGCAGTGTATTAGCCTAATGCACCAAAGCAGCAAGCAGCAAGGGGGCAGGGAGAGCTGTCCCAGCTCAGCAGGACCAGCCTGCCAGCCCCATGGAGATGGAGACAGGTCCCTATCTCCACATGGCTGGGAGGCAGCTGCCCAGCAGCTTGGACAGCTCACCCTGCCCGGTGGACATCGGGACAGGTCCTGATCTCCACATGGCTGGGAGGCAGCTGTCTGGCATCTGAGACAACAATCCCAGCCACGTAGGGATTGGGATCTGTGGCGGTCAAGTGGTAGGCCGGGCTGTGGCCAGTAGCCCCGAAACGGCAGGTTGACCGATGGAGCGGAATTAGGCACTGAAGCGTATTGGTTGAACAAAGAGATTATTTACTTACGCCGTCGGTGTACACAGCGCAGGAAGAAGAACTGACTTAGGTTACAGTTGCAAACATGAGCTCTCCGAGTCAGACAAAATGACATGAACGGCTTATCGGGCCTGCAGGGCACGGGGGTACGTCGGGACGGTCGGCGACGGGGAGTCGTTGGTGGGTGATCAGTCCGCCGAGTTCACTCCGAGATGTGCGCGGAGTTCTCCGACTTTTATATGACTAACAAGCCAATCGTGAGTCACCAAATATGAATAATTTAGAACCGGCCAATGGTGGTGTGCGTATTTGCATAAAGTTGGCAGGAACTTTTTACTGCACCGGGGTTTTCTACCGTAGCGGAAAATTCCACTGTGGCGAGAAATTCCACTGCGTTATAGGCATCAAATCAATTAAACCTTCCACTGTGACATAGGCACTCAACTACTGGGTTGTGACAGTATCCATCCCAGTCTCCATGGGCAGGCAGCTGCCCCGCAGCCAGGACAGCTCTCCCTCACCTTGTAGAGGTCAGGACCAGCCCTCATGCCCCCTGCCAGCCTAGGGCTGGCACCCAGGGGACCCTGGAGATCCCCCTGGCTGCTGCAGGGGGGAAGAGCAGGGCAGGAGCATCCCTAGGCAACTGCTCCCATCAAGAGCAAATTTGTTCCCAACAGGCACACTGTTAAATGCATGTGGGGGACCAGTATAATGCATCTGAATTTTCAGCACTGAGGAGTCAGGCACATTAATTGCACACACAGATGGACCTGTGTTAACCAGAGGTAAATGACATCAGTCTAAAACAGTGGTCCTCAACCCATGGTTCATGGGCAATATGGTTCCTGCAAGATCCTCTGCCATTGCCCACAACCCAGAAAATTAAAAACTTAAAATTGAGGATAACAAAGAGTAACATATGCTGCCACATGCAAGATAATACTTGCTCCATATTATTGCCCATGAGCCAGTGAAGGTTGGACACTACTAGTCTGTAACCATGATCCCTTTTCCAGTGTCTCCCCTTATTAGGCAGAACCAACTAGGCACGAGTTTCTCCATTACTGAATTAGCTAAAGAAAACCAAAGTATTTGATGGCACATTTGTATAACAGAGGGTATCTAGGCAGGATATGATTCCCTGAACCCAATGTTGAGATGCATTTCCCTGTACTAGTGCATGTACCATAACAGTGACTGCTTTTTCAATTGAATAAATGTGACAATTGAATGTCAGGGGCACACTTTTTTTTTTCCTTTTTATCCCAACTACACAAAAGCTTATAATTGGCAGTAGGATGCTGACCCCAAAACTCTGTTTCGTATTCATGAAGAGAATCTTATTCCAGAACTGTATTCAGTCTTCGAGAAAGGTGCTGTTCATAAAATTCTGCATAAGAAGTTTAATTTTGACCTTACCTGCCAGCTATACTGATGGGGCCAGTATCATTTCAGATTTACACCAATTTATCATGCTACTGATGGCAGCACAGCATTTTGTCTTTTTTTTTTTTTTTGTGGGTCCACTATGCTTTTTAGTATAGCTGTGTCCTTGGAGTACTCTGCTATGTAGCCCAGAGAGAAAGCAAATTAGTATTATGGGCTTCTGCACCTGAAACATTTCCTTGCTCCTGGTCTTTCTTTTTTCTCCTCTTCCACTATCATGCTGTTTTTAATGCAGCAATGAACACCGGGCATACTTCTTCACACAGCTGTCTTAAATGAAAGCTTGCTTTTGAAAGCTTGCTTCACCTGTTCTAAGTCTAACGTGGCAAACGCCTTGACAGTCAGTAGGCTACAGAGCTTTATGTTTATTTTTCATGCTATATCCTTGGAATACTATCCAAGAAGTAATGTGTTCCTGACCCAGAAATGTGCTAAGCTACCCAAGGAATTCCTCGCTAAGTTGATCTGCCTCTTCTCCCTGTCATCTCTGTAGATACATTTTCCTTGGAGTGCCCTATTTTACAATAAGAGGTGACCCTGGGCACATCTACATGTGTATTAATGTGCCTTTTCTAATGTTCATTAAATTTAGTACCTCCAATGTGAGGTACTAAATTAATGCTCATGAGGCTTCCCTAATGTGCAGTAGTGCATTTGTATGGTTTTTCAGTGATACTTAATGCATAGTAGACTATTTTACTGCACATTAGCGTAATGTCATGGTTTTTATGTGACATTTAAATGCGCAGTAAAATAATCTACTGCACATTAAAGCACACATGTAGACATGCCCACTAAATATGTATATATTATCAAACCCCAAAAAATCACAATTCAAAAGCAACTACTGGCATTAGGCACTGATCCAGAAGCCAAAAGCAGTATATTGCAAAAGTAAAACTAAAACCTCCAACTTTTAAGAAGTCATGGTGCTCAGACCAAAGGTACCACTTAACTTCATATACTGCACTCTGTCACTTTGTACCTGAAGCCTTCCGGTGATGTAGCAAGTACTATTTTTGGTATTTGTCAAATAGGATGTTATCTGTACTTCTCTCTTCTTCCCAGAGGAAAACCCATTTATATATGGGCTCTTCGGTTGTGAAGACAAGGTTGGAGAAGGGTACTTATGGTGCCTATACATGTGCTCCGACATTCTAATTAGAATACATGATGGCGGCAGGGATGCTTTAACTAAAGCTCATCAAACAAGCTTTAGTTATGTCCTTAGACCAACATGGCTACAACCTAAACCCCTGCAAGCTTTAGTTAATGCACCCCTGTGGCCATTTTGAAATGCAGGATGCTGAATACACATGACGCTGTGGTGTCCAGGAGCCACTCTAATTAAAAGGCCCATCCCTTCACCCCCCACTCCAGAGCACGTGTATAGATGCTCTTAAATTGGAAAGTGGTGAAGTTTGAAATGGTTTTTGTTTCTTGTGGGAGCAAGTTCTGCACTCTTGCCCCTATCCCTGAGAAACCTCTCTTTTTGCACCAATGAACTTTACTGTTGAGTGAACAAACAGTTCTGATATGCCAGACAAGTGTCATAGTTTGAATCTCTTAATTATTCCTGACTTAAAGCTTGAAGAGCCTTAAAGATGGGAATCAAGAGCTTAAGTTTGTCATGCTGTTGCATAAGCTGCCAGCATAACAAGCAGAGGACATATCAGGGAGAGCAGGCAGGTCATCGGGCAGAGGAAAAAATCCTGTGAGTGCCCACAGTCACTTGGCTGGAGGGGATGGGGTGTAGGAGACTCTTAAAGCCTTTGCCTAAGAGCAAACAGGCAGTCTGACCCTGGCAGCGAGAGAGTGAAGAGCTCCTACCCTGGAGAGCTGCAGTGGGAGACCCTGCTGACCCCTGGAGTGCCTGCCCATGTATCAGTACGACAGTGAAAGCTTGCTGTAGTGCAGATAGAAGCCAAAACAAGGGGAAGCTGGGCAGACAGTCGGTTGGCTTAGAGTGCTGTTAGAGACAGAGGGCTTATGTGCTTTTGTTTGAGTTACTCTGGTGGTTTGGGTGGGTCTGTGAAGGGTCCCATTAGCACGTAAGGGGCTTGGGGCCAGAGGGCCCAGAGCTTAGGGTCCAGAGCAAGCCCAGTGCACAAGAGAGACAGAACTTGGGGGCCAGAGTGGGCCCGGCACCCAAGAAGGACAGACCTGGGGGGCCAGAGCCATGATAGAGGCTGGAGCCCAGAAGCTAGGTCCAGCACAGATGGACCTGAGATAAGAGACCCAGCAAGAGTCAAGGGGCAGAAGCTGAAAAGACCAAGACCCCTACAGGCATTGGGTGCCCTGGGAGCACATATGGGGAAGGGGGGCCCTTCCTGCATGAGGAGAGGATTTGAGGCTAGCGGGATTCAGAGAAGGAATCCAGTGGCAGACTGTAGGACTGGGATTGGCTCTAGGACCTTTGGGCAGCTTCCCTTTAAAAACCCAATCAATTACATCAAGGCATGGCAGGCGAACATTAAGGCTAAGGACAGAAGTTACACATAAACCAGTTTAAATGATCAGAAACTGGTTTAAACCTGTAACAGAACAGCAGCTCAGTGCACATAAACCAGTTTCAAAATGGCTGAAACTGGTTTAAGATAAACCTGGTTGAATGTAGTATCAGACGTAACTGATTTGGGTCAAACCGGTTTATGAAACTTCTGTCCCAGACCCCTTCCTGGAGGCATGTGGCTGCATTTCCTGTATCAATGATAAATGTATGCTCACTTCTGTTTCAGTTTAATCTGTGCAGCTTAAATTAAACTGGAAAGACTGAATCGATTCAGCCTTGGGCTTTTTGACTGTCTGTACCTAGCCTAAAGGGAGGGTGCCTTAGACCCAGAGCTGGGTGGGTGCCATTTGGCCACCAGGGGGCATGACAGGGGTTCGGTTACATGGAATCCTGTTACATGGAATATGGAATCAGTCTCAAAGTCTTTTCACTACATAATTTCAAAAAAATCTCACTATCTTAGATGCCCAAAGGATATTAATTTACATGCCTAACTAAAGTTTTCAATAATAGTCCAATCAGATGCATCACAAATTATGCTACATGAAAGGAAAGCCTTCTAAAAAGAAGGAAAGAGGAAAGGTGGACAGGGGTTAACATAAATGAAGTTAGGCCATCTCATTGGTTCTGTACATACTAAATCTTTCACTTCTAATGGTTTTCTTTATCTCTCTTCCCATAGTTTCTTTTTAACAGATGGTCCCTTGCTGAGGAAGGCAGTGAAGAAGAAAATGAAGACGGTTGTACGACCTTTCACACCTGTCCATAACAACCTCTTGGTTCCAAACACCTCTGAAGCAGCCATGTATGTTTTAGAGAAATTTATTATCCACCCAATCTGAAAATGGAGTTTCAAGTAAAATGAGTCTGCTAATACATGAGCTGCCAGCATATGACTTGTGAAATAGCCAACATATTTCTGTGCCAAGTATGTCTTTATGAGATGTACCTTAATGCATTTTGGAGGTGGATTAAGCTAAACTACACAAAGGAACTCAGTGCAGAATAGAAGCATCCATGCAGGGAGATAGCATGGACTATTGTCCTTTAAATTTACACCAAAGCTTATTTTGCAGTAGCTTCTCCATACCGATGCATTTGACAACTTGCTTAGATTCCAATTGCGCAAGGTGTTGAATGTCAAATGGCCACTATTTCTATTAATAGGAATTGAAAGCATTAAGCACTTTATAAGATCAGGTTTATAGAAATGTTTGACACGCACATGACATGATACACTGATGGGTCAGGGTTGATGGGTCAGGGTTGCAACATTGCAGAAGTGTTGAGAATAGTCTAGGATGCATGGGCTACTGAAAAATGTATACATCCCAGAATTGTTTTGTGCCAACATCTAAGGATCAGCTTTTGGCCTCCGATACATTCATTCAGATCCCACTGGATTCAGTGGGGATTATGCAGACAGATGTGACTGCTTTTCACTACCTTGAAAAAACACTTTTAAACATCTTTTAGTTATTTTTTGTCTACCTTTCAGGTCCCATGAGAAAACCATCAAACCCCATCCAGTATTTTCTGCTGCCAAAACATTGTCCTATGTTTCCCCCAAATCTTTTACTTTATCATGTTTATTGGAACAGTTCTGAGAGACCAACTAAAGACAGGGTTCCTTGGACTAGGCTCTGTATAAACACAGAAAAAGTGACAGTATTGTATAATATGAATAGGCAAGACAGACAAAGGTACGGGGGGAAGAAAGGGATGTGTACTGACTTGGGAATGATACTGGCTTGGGAAGGATAGTTCCTCTTCACAACTTCAGAAGATATGAAATTTGGCTTCATTTCACACTGGAATGGAAACAAAACCATTTTTGAAGGAGTTTCATGAAACACTATTCAGTTTCAGTCTTTCTCTGGAAGTGACCAGAAAGACTACCCTGAACCTCAAAAACTTTCTTATTGAAAATGTCCTTGGAATCACTAAGTTTCTGGAAAGCATGCTTGATGTAAATGAAACAATATTTTTCGTTGAAAATTGTTTTACTGAAAATGTTCCAGTAGCTCAAAGTATGACATGCAAACTGAGTGAAGTGAGATGGTGGCAAATATCACACTAGTTCTTTATTTTCCATTTGGTTTTGCTACTTGATTTCTTTCAAGTGATGTTATTAGGTAGATGGAAAGACAAAGAAAGATAGGGTTGGAACAAGAAACCAGTCAGCCCAGGGGAAAGAAAGTATAGAGTGTGAACTGCAGAACATGCATATCAGTGCCTGTGGGGCCTTGCTTGAACTGCTTTCTGAAGCAGCACAGTCAGGTTGAGGCTCCAGCTGGCTCCTCTCTGTAATTTTTTTCCCACAGGCCACAAGGAAGGGAAGAAGTAGATCTGAAGGACTTTGGGATCTTCCATTGCACAGTTCTCAGTCTTGGGCTTCTAGGGAACAGAGGTGGCTTCAACATATAACCCTCTTCCCTAGTCCAGTAGTGTGTATTTGGATTCATGATTGCGCAGCTGTGTCTGCCTCTGTCTCCTAACTCTCATCTGTTAATATTCTCCAGTACACTCAGCCCTGTTGCCCAGTTCACCTTCCACTGTCATCATTAGAAACATGGGGATGTGAGTAATAGAGACAATCTAGAATTATATCAGTGCAGGAAAAAGAAGTTTTCATTTTTTTAGGGAGTATTCACAGAAGATAGACCTTCCAGGACTCTTTCATCCCTGTGCTCACAAGTATAAAGTAAAATAGGGAGGGTAAAAGGAAATGCAGAGAATGTACAAAAGAGGGGAGATTCTATTAAAGTTTAAATGCTGTCTTGAACTGTTTAATCATAGGAGAGTAGGGAAAAATCCTCCAAAGCATATGAGATCTGACAGCTTCTGCTAATAACGTCCATTACTTACCTTCCTCTTTTTCTGTAGTTGG